CACTCACGCTCTCACACACACACGCGCACACTCACGCTCTCACACGCGCACACTCACGCTCTCACACACACACGCGCACACTCACACTCTCACACACACACGCGCACACTCACGCTCTCACACACACACACTCTCCCACCCACACACACTCACACACACGCACACACTCACGCTCTCACACACACACGCGCGCACACTCACGCTCTCACACACACACGCGCACACTCACGCTCTCACACACACACGCGCACACTCACGCTCTCACACACACACGCGCACACTCACGCTCTCACACACACACGCGCACACTCACGCTCTCACACACACACGCGCACACTCACGCTCTCACACACACACGCGCACACTCACGCTCTCACACACACACGCGCACACTCACGCTCTCACACACACACGCGCACACTCACGCTCTCACACACACACGCGCACACTCACGCTCTCACACACACACACACGCTCACGCTCAGCAGATACTCACAGCGTTCGGTCCGCCGCAGCCTCCCAGAATCAGCAGTGTCTGGCTGTCGATCACGATCTGAGGAACACGAGGCGACACAGTGAGCGGCTCAGACTCAGAGCATCATGGGAGTCAGTGAGAGACTGAGGAGGCAGTGTTACCTGAGACTGTCCCCCGCGAGGGTGAGGACACGGGCCGCTGACGGCCGGTTTGGACCAGGACCACTGTTCCAGATCCAGAACCCAGACCTCGTTACTCCTGCGACACAAACACACACAATAAACACGCCACTCGATCGCTCGCGGCCGACTCTCTCGCCTCATACATACATCTGCCGCGCGCCCAGAGAGCCTCCGAACACCACCATACCGCTGCCCATCACGGAGGACGAGTGTCCCGCCATCGGCGGCGGCCCCTGAGTCGTCACGATGCAGTTCCACCTGCGGGCGAGAGAGGGGCGGAGTTACAGGCTCACACTCCCTGTCTGACACACACAGCTTCCCTTGAGTCACACCATGCAGGAAACACGGACGGAATCACAGGACCCAGCCCAAAAACCAAACGTTTTCATTTGATAAAAACAATCAAACACAAACAAAGTTAAAGCTCAACACAAATCAAAATAAAAGTTCAGTTCAAATTATGACTGAAAGATATTGCTGCTGTACAGTCAAATATACTTCTCAAAGCAACAAAAATTATACTCTCTTAAGTTAAGTCAAGTCAAGTCACCTTTATTTATAAAACAGACTTAGCAGGAGGCTACTTATGTATTTAGTTCTCGTTTTAACCATGACTTGTATTAGGTGTTGTCAAGCCATCGCTGCCTGAAGCAGCAAGCTCCGGCTCTGCTCCATGAACACCAGCAGACTCCAGCCCAGCTGCTTCACGCTCATTGTGTGTCAAAAATTTACTCTTCGGTAAGAAAGCCAATTATTATGAAACCAATGCAACTGCATTTTCAAGCACTTTATACAAAATCCAAGCATTTTTCAAACCTTGAAAACACTACATTAAAATCCAAGCATTTTCAAGGAATTCAAGCACCCGCATGAACCCTGACCCCAACCCAACATTATCCCAAAACAATCTAACGCAAAACAGAATTTCTGGGGAGAAATCTACAGTAATTTAGGGAAAAATAAAACATAATTTGGGGAGAAAAAAAAATCAAAGGTAATTTGTAAATAAATGAAGATGATCTGTGTCCCTGCAGCACAAAAGCAGTGTTAAGTCGCTGGGGGATATTTGTAGCAATAGCCAACAATACATTGTATGGGTCACAATTATACATTTCTCTTTTGTGCCAAAAATCATTAGGATATTAAGTAAAGATCATGTTCCATGAAGATATTTTGTAAATGTTCTACCGTAAATATATCAAAACTTAATGTTTGATTAGTAATATGCATTGCTAAGAACTTCATTTGAACAACTTTAAAGATGATTTTCTCAATATTTAGATTTTTTTGCACCCTCAGATTCCAGATTTTCTAATAGTTGTATCTCAGCCAAATATTGTCCATTTTGTCCAGAAAATTGTCCATTTCACATGTGGTAAAGAGTCTCACCAGTTCTTGGAGGGCGAGTAGGTGTGTATCTCGTCGAAGAAGCGCTCGGGCTGGTGGAGCGGGTACGGACTGGGCCGAGTCCATCCGCCGAACAGCACCAGCAGATCCCTGTACATCACCAGCGTGGCTCCCGCTTTAGGAGACGGATACGAGCCTGAACACAACACAACAGGAGAGGAGAGCTGACGCCACGCCACTCACACACACACACACACTCCCACACTCACTCTCACACTCACTCTCACTCCCACACTCTCACTCCCACACTCTCACTCCCACACTCTCACTCCCACACTCTCACTCCCACACTCTCACTCCCACACTCTCACTCCCACACTCTCACTCCCACACTCTCACTCCCACACTCTCACTCCCACACTCTCACTCCCACACTCTCACTCCCACACTCTCACTCCCACACTCTCACTCCCACACTCTCACTCCCACACTCTCACTCCCACACTCTCACTCCCACACTCTCACTCCCACACTCTCACTCCCACACTCTCACTCCCACACTCTCACTCCCACACTCCCACACTCTCACTCCCACACTCCCACACTCACACTCACTCCCACACTCACTCCCACACTCACACTCACTCCCACACTCACTCCCACACTCACTCCCACACTCACTCCCACACTCACCCACACACTCTCACTCCCCCACTCTCACTCCCACACTCTCACTCACTCACTCACACACCCCACCCTCACTCCCACACTCACTCCCACACTCACTCCCACACTCACTCCCACACTCACACTCACACTCACTCCCTCCCACACTCACTCCCACACACACTCACACACTCACTCCCACACTCACTCCCACACTCACTCCCACACTCACTCCCACACTCTCACTCCCACACTCTCACTCCCACACTCTCACACTCACTCCCACACTCACTCCCACACTCACTCTCACTCTCACACTCACTCTCACACTCACTCTCACACACTCTCACACACTCTCACACACACAACTGAGTCTGACCTGACGCCAGCGGCCGGATCCACTCCTTACTGTTGAGATCCAGACGCCACAGATCGTTAAACGCTGCGTTACAGCTGCTCTGAGTGCAGCCGCCGAACACGTACATCGACTGGTTCGAGTCGTAGTAACACGCACCTGCGGCACACACACACCAAACTCAACCAAATTACGCTGCATACTGTCAACAGTTAGCATTTCATACAACTAAATCATCAACATGTCTTCAGTGAGTGATTGAGATGCTCTGACTCAATGAGCCATTCTTTAGAATGATTCTAACTAATCACTTGTGATTCATTAAAGGGGTCATATGATGCGATTTCAAGTTTTCAAATCTTTCTCTTTGGAGTGTTACAAACTCTTGGTGTATAAAGAAGATCTGTAAAGTTGCAAAGACTAAAGTCTCAAATCCAAAGAGATATTCTTTATAAAAGTTAAGAGTCAGCCACGCCCCCCTAAAACGGCTCGTTCTAACACGCCCCCACATGTCTACATCTTTCAAAAGAGGACGATATCCGCTTCATCATGCCTAGAGCTGATCCGTGCTGGTCACTGAGGAAATACATCAACTTAGTGCTGTGAATCGCTGGCACATTTTATGGAGGACTGTGTCCTGATCCTGGGAGAGTAACGCGGGGCATAGAGGAGAAACAATAATGTACAGTATGTGGAAAATAGTGTTTTTTAACTGCATAAACATTTCATTACACCAAATACACAAAATAATGTTCTTTTTAGCAGCATCATATGACCCCTTTAAAATAACTGGTTCAAAAGAGTCATTTAAAAATAATTTAGTGTGATCTAATTCAGTAGATTCACACAGCAACATCAGGAAACTGGTGTGTGTGTGTGTGTGTGTGTGTGCGCGAGTGTGTGTGTGTGTGTGTGCGCGTGGGTGTGTGCATGTGTGTGGGTGTTTGTTTGTTTGTGTGTGTGTGTGTTTGTTTGTGTGTGTGTGTGTGTGTGTGAGAGAGTGAGTGTGTGTTTGTGTGTGTGTGTGTGTGTGTGTGTGTGTGTG